ACATTTATTTCATATAATATTCACGTCTAGTTTGATTGTCATCATACACATTATTTTTATCGAGAAATTCAATAAAAATCCTATCTTGTCTGTAATATATTTTTTCTTATGAGTAACCATTTGCAACCCATGCTTAATAGCACGTAATAAGCTCGGTTATTAAGCATCCTTTTTTGGGGATGCCCGGTGGCCGAGGGGAAGACGTGTAGTGGCGTGAAGCTAGGCTATTAGGTGCCGTACGCGAGCGCCGGTTCGAGTCACGCACGCAGTACGTGTTTACTATAATTAGACATAGTCTTTACCTTGCCGTTAATTCGGTGTTATTTGCTTACTTTACTTCCTATGTCGACAGCAACTATGAGTTTAAAATTATTTCTCAGTACTTATACATTGGTGATTGGCTGGCTACATTGGTGATTAGCTGGCTACATGTACATGTACGTTGGTGATTGGCTGGCTACATTGGTGATTAGCTGGCTACATTGGTGATTAGCTGGCTACATGTACATGTACGTTAATGATTGGCTGGCTACATTGGTGATTGGCTGGCTACATGTACATGTACGTTGGTGATTGGCTGGCTACATTGGTAATTGGCTGGCTACATGTACATTTACTTTGGTGATTGGCTGGCTGCATGTACATTTACAAAATCAGAATGATGGTGACTCAGAATCACTGGTAGCATTGTGGTAGTTGTACCAACCCAGTCACTCATTAGTAAATTCAAATCCTACCTGTGGCTGCACACCTTCTAGGGGGTTGAGTTAATATGTCACAGGTCAACAATCAGTCACTTCATATGAATGAGACTTTTGAGGGAAACCTTAAGTTTAAAATCTACAGGTGTCCTGTTGTATGCTGTGGTACTTATTTAATCATTGTTGTTTGTCTCTATTTCACCTCCAGGGAGTGGTTCTGGTAATGGTAAAATACTACAGAGATTTCCAGAGAAAGACTGGGAAGATGTACCATTCCACCAAGGCTTGGAATTGGTAAGTGTGTTTAATGTGAGCCGTTATAAAAAGCTTAAATCCGACAACTTTAAATTCAGCATTTGGTCGTGTTTATATTGGTAATCTATCTTAGAATGGGAAGGCATCTACATGTATGTAAAAAGCCACTGACAATTGTTTCTGCATATGTGGTATGGAGAAACTGTGATCAGTAACTGACAGTATTATTGATCTGTTTTTGGTTTTAAAATCAGCACTGGTTTATCACTTTATCAGAATGCCATAGTTAATTTTTGTCATCTTTCTCAAAATAAATATGTACAATTTTTTTCCGAATTTTTTCCAAAAAAAACTTTGGTCAAGACTGGTACATGTTATGAAAAATTATGTCTACTGTATTTGCTCAATTAGTAGTGCACATGTTTTATGTTCATTACAGGTGTGTTCGTAGTGGAAAATAAATTGTATGTTAATTATTCAATATGCAACTCAATTCTTTCATGTTTAT